GTCACGCATTTGTTATCCTCATAAAAGAAGAACTATTTACGTTATTCATGATATGCAAAACTCATTGATAATGATTGATATATTTTCTCTGAATTTATTATTAGAATAAAGAAATGTATCAATAATACAATAACCTAGCTATACAAAATGAAAATATGATTCACATGAATAATAACTGATAAATTCAGGTTGTTCATATCCATATACATATATTTATATATTTACAAATATGTATATATATATATATCCATGGATAAAAGCTGGTATCTGTGAAAGCAAAATAAATCTACCGTTTCTATCGTTTTCCAGGCAGTTTCTCGCTCAAAATTGACAAAACGGCGTTAACTCGGCTATAAACTCTACGGAGCGCCACGCCACATTTCAGTACCTCCGCGGAATCACCCAAGACCCCGAGCATCTCCCCCGACCCATGCATGTTTCACACTCCGGCCACTCATAATCGCTCGAATAGGAGACCCGCAGATGCGAACGGTCTCATTAATCTCCCAGACCTCCAGGAAGCTTGACATCATCCGTTTTTATTAGCCAGATAATGGTCTCTAGCTAATGTGTGGAAGTGGCAGGCTTTATTGTTATTGCTTGCCGATAATGGTAGAGGACGGAGAAGAAAGATAGAGGGCGCGAAGTTCTAGAAGTTGAGGCTGCATTTTGTTACAGGAGCGGCGGTTCGTTAAATGGTTATTCGGCTTGGACACGTGATATTATGGGTATTTATCTGCCTTTGGTTTATCATGTGTCGTCTCGCGCGTGTAGGATGTGGGTTTTATTGGCAAATTGCTTTGTGCGTAACCTGCTGTGTGGTAAATTTTTGTAACGAGCTGATCTAGTTGGTGAGGTCAGCCTAAGTTGGCTGGTTATGGATCGAGTATTTCCTTTTTGGTGTGGCATGAACCATAATGATAAAAGGGAGAGGAGAATCACGTATGGGATGTATGATCTGACTCCACTTGAGTATTTGGGAATGGATAGGATGGTATGCTTCGTGAGTGGTGCTGTATTGGTACTGTGGTTGGTTGTGTTCGCTTGTGTCTATCATGAGGCGTCGAGTTACATTGCTGTTGCTTCTCCGTGCGTAGACTACACTTCGTCATACGATGTGCTCACTCCTCTCTCTCTCTCTAGGAATACGATCGATACGGCCGAAAGAGGATCAACTCTGAGTCTGAGTCACTTAGACACACGTGTTCGCAGCGACTGTCGGGATGTGATGCTGATATCGTTATCGCGGATCGCCCTCTCCCTCACACACTGATTCTACTCACTCTCTACACACACACGTCTGGTGTACCCGCGAGCTCACACCATCAGAGTCTTACCCTCCTCCCTCCCTCCCTCCCTCCTTCCCCCCTTCCCATCCTCTCTCCACTCCCTCCCTCTCTCCTCTCCTCCCCTCTCTCCTCTCCCTCCCCTCCTCCCTCTCTTCCCTCCTCCCTCCTCTCCTCTCTCTCTCTCTCTCTCTCTCCCCTCTCCTCTCCTCTCTCCCCGTCCTTTCTCTCTCACTCCCCTCGCACGTCTCCTTTCTTCCTTTTTTTTTATCTCCCTCGTCCCAAACGCGTCGCAGATTAATCCTCAGCCTCCCCGCGGCGCGCATGACTACCCAGACGTCCATGAGGATGCGTTTCGGCCGAATATTATCTGTCGCCGGGAAATCTTCGTGTCTCGCCTCAAGCCCTCCATCCATATTAATGACCCGCACGTGAGGCTAATTTGTCCCGGGCGCTGATATTCATCCGCGTCCCTCGCTGTTTAAACGCCATTATCATGTTAGGATGTGTCAATACAGCTCAACTCGGGCAAACAAGGAGCCGCCCGTGCTATACTATGCCCTCTCCGCCCCCCCTCCTCCTCCGCCCCCCGCCCCCCAATTCCGCCCGCTGTCTCGGTTCCCTCTTTATTCGCCTTCTTGGGATTCTCCATCTTTGTTCTTTCCCCTTCATTTGCCCTCGGGGTTCTTGGTGGTTTGTCTTGGTCGGTGTCTCTTCTTTGGGTGATTATTATCGGTTCTCTGTCTCCTTCGTTCTTGAAATTTTATCTTGCACCCCTCCTCCTGCAGCATCCTTCCCCACCCCACGCAACGCACCTTCGCCCTCGCGTCCCTCAGTCCTCACTCCTTCCTCACGCCGCCCCTTCCCCTTCCCATCCTCCCGGAGTCTGTGTTTAGGATTTTTCTCGTAATGATATGAATGTATATTAAACAGGTGCAATTTTTCCAAGTAGGAAGCACATTATATGCAACAAGATTCATTTAGGCTCCTTTCCGAGAGCTGCCGAGAAATGCACCAGAATGAAGCGGATCCCACTAGGCTCTCTTTTTCTCTCTTTTTCTTTCACTGCGGCAATTACCTTCTTTGGCTGTTTCACATTTATTCCCTGGCTCGCATTACCCTCCAGCGAGCATAAGGATATTCTGTTATCTTTCTTTGTTCTCATCGTATGTGTGGCCGTTTTTTTTTACCCCCAGGTTCCCCAGCTCCCACCGCGCCAGCCTCCTCCTCCTCCTCCTCCTCCTCCTCCTCCCTCCTCCTCCTCCTGCTCCTCCTCGGTATCGACATGCCCTGTTTCGGAGCTTCCTCGCGCTCCTTACTGTAAAAAGGGTTTAGTCCCCAAAGCCTGTCCTCCTCGGGCTTTGACGCCTCTTTTCCTCCTTCTGCGAGGCCTGGATCAGCTTCATACTGCATAACTTTTCGTACCGGTGTCGCTTTTTTGTTTGGGTGCCATCCTGTCATACTGTGAGCTTATTTTCTCGCCGTGCTGCGTGGGCCGGGATGCCTCGGTTTCTTATTCTTCTCCTTTTCTCCCCTGGTCGTGTTGTTCTGCATTTTACCCGAGGTTTTATCCCCTCGCTCGCGGCTTCATCACTTACCGGATTATGATGAAGCGCTTAGGAGCTTCTTAGCCTCGGACGTCATCCTCCTTGGAAGTCGCAACCGGAATGGCAACAGCGGAGCAATTGTCGGTAAACGTTCTGTCATCGTCTGTAGCTCAGGTCTCGCCGGTCGCATGGCTGGCAGTAAGTTAACCCATAAGTTAGCCCGGCCGATCCCGCGGGACCGGCCCTATCTCTTGTGGTACGACCAGAGGCGTAAGTTATGGGGGAGGATCCACGGTGAAAGGGACGCTGCGACTAATCTAATGTTATGTCGTGTCAGGACATCGGGGAAATCTATTTGCTACTGTATTGCCATCTACTGGGAAGGTCGATATGAACAATACTTGTCTAAACACAGCTGTGGCGCTCCAGAGCATGTAAGAAAATGATCACATGGAAATAATGGTAATGGTTAGATAATTCGACATTTGACCCTTTAAAAGCCAACATGAGTTTAAGCAATTTTTTACTGGTAACCGGCATTAACTTTCAATATTCTAAAGGAAGTGCAAGTATGTGCTTATGATAAACCAAAGCCGTTGGGAATTTTCCTTCTTTTTTATGCGATTTGAATCACCCTCTGACATCATGTATTTGTCAGGAGTTCGTGCACTGAGACTGAGACTGTATGTATATAACGTTTTTGCTATGCCTCCCCTTGCTAGAAACGTTTTAGAGAGCGTCCGACGCGAGGATAAGAAGAGAAAAGTTGAAGCGACGTGGCTCCGTGTGATCGGCTCTCCGTCCCGGCGCTTTGGCTCCCGGCGACTCGGATTTTGGCTCGTCTGAGGTTATTAGATGCCTCGGCTCCCCAAGCGTTCAATGTAATGTTAGGCTAGACCGAGCGGAAATGATCGTTTACACTGATAAAACTTTTCGATTAAAGGAGGAGATAAAAAAGAACAATATTCTCGATAGTAGGCAAAATAGTCTGTCGTGGAAGGGGGCAGGTACGTGGAGGAAGAATTAAAGTATATAAGATCATAAAAAAAGGTATAAACCTGCGCATAGACACAGCCATAAAGGGAGAGTCTATATTGCACAGACTAACAGACATAATGGCAGAGGGGCAACGAATGCGTAATTACAAAGACACCAATAAAGCGACGTTGCACAAGGCCAGTGAAAGCGAAATTCTAATAAAGAGGACATAAGAATGGGG